GTTATGTTAGTCACGATACAATACATCATTAGTTTTTGATGTAGTGATCCACAATCCATTGTTTTTGTATAACACCCAGTACTCCATGCAATATGTGCCCTCCTCCTTAATACCCATCTGTTAGCCATTTTTATGTCTTCTTCAGAGAAGTGTCTGTTCGTGTCTTCTGCTCATTTTTGACTTGATTATTTGTTTTTTGGGTGTTGAGTTTGAGAAGTTCTTTCTAGATCTTGGATACCAGCCCTTTATCTGTAGTGTCATTTGCAAATATCTTCTCCCATTCAGTGGGTTGCCTCTTTGTTTTGCTGACTATTTCCTTTGCTGTGCAGAAGCTTTTTATCTTGATGAAGTCCCAAAAGTTCATTTTGCTTTTGTTTCACTACCCTTTGGAGATGTATCTTGAAAGAAGTTGCTGTGGCCGATGTCAAACAGGTTACTGCCTATGTTCTCCTCTAGGATTTTGATGGATTCCTCTCTCACATTGAGGTCTTTCATCCATTTTGAATTTATCTTTGTGTATGGTGTTAGAGAATGGTTGAGTTTCCTTCTTCTGCATGTGGCTGTCCAATTTTCCCAGCACCATTTATTGAAGAGACTGTCTTTTTTCCATTGCACATGTTTTCCTAGTTTGTCAAAGATAATTTGACCATAGAGTTGAGGGTCCATATCTGGGCTCTCTATTCTGTTCCATTGGTCTATATGTCTGTTTTTGTGCCAGTACCATGCTATCTTGGTGATCACAGCTTTGTAATATAGCTTGAAATTGGGCAATGTGATGCCCCCGGCTTTATTTTTCTTTTTCAACATTTCCTTGGCGATTCGGGGACTTTTCTGATTCCATACAAATTTTAGGATTGTTTGTTCCAGCACTTTGAAAAATGCCATTGGAATTTTGATCGGGATGGCACTGAATGTATAGATTGCTCTGGGCAGCATAGACGTTTTAACAATATTTATTTTTCCAATCCATGAACATGGATTTTTTTTCCATTTTTTCGTGTCTTCTTCAATTTCTTCCATAAGTGTTCTGTAGTACCTACAGTATAGATCCTTTACCTCTTTGGTTAGGTTTATTCTGAGGTATCTTATGGTTTTTGGTGCTATTGTAAATGGAATCATTTCTCTAATTTCTCCTTCTACAGTTGCATTGTTAGTGTATAAGAAAGCAACTGATTTCTGTGCATTGATTTTGTATCCTGCCATATTGCTGAATTGGTGTATGAGGGCTAGTAATTTGGGAGTGGAGTCTTTTGGATTTTCCACATAAAGTATCATGTCATCTGCGAAGAGAGAGAGTTTGACTTCTTATCTGCCAATTTGAATGGATTTTATTTCTTCTTGTTTTCTGATTGCTGTTGCTAGGACTTCTCATACTATGTTGAACAACAGTGGTCAGAGTGGGCCTCCTTTTCGTGTTCCTGATCTTAAGGGAAACACTCTCAGCTTTTCCCCATTGAGGATGATATTTGCAGTGGATTTTTCATTGATGGATTTTCGGAACTTGAGGAATGTTCCCTATACTCTGAAGAGTTTAATCAGGAAAGGATGCAGTGTTTTGTCAAATGCTTTTTCTGCAACAATTGAGAGGACACACTCCTACCTGCAAATATTGACCAGAGTCCCTCATCACATTGACTTTACACACAGAAACACCCTCCAAAACATCAACGTATTGGGACGCCTGGGTGGCTCAGTAGTTAAGCGTCTGTCTTCAACTCAAGTCATGATCTTGGATTCCAGGGATAGAGCCCTGAGTCAGGCACCCTGCTCTGTGGGGAGACTGCTCCCCCCACTCCTGATGCCCCACCCCCCACCTCTCTGCTCATAATTTCTCTCTCGGTCACTCTCTCTCCCTCTCTAGAATAAATAAGTAAATGAATAAAGAAAATCTTTTTTAAAAATCAACCTATTAAACATTAAAGCAAGTCCAATATGTACATAGGTATCATCACCTCTAAATCTCCAAATCTGAACATATAGCTCCAGTATAGTGAAACAGTGGGTTGCTTCCATCTGGGGGTAAAAAGCTCTTCATCAATATAAAAAACAATATTTCCTTCCATAAAATACAACTCCAAGGCAAGAATATGATAGTAGGTACTGACATTCTTGTTAGAGGAGAGATAAAGTGTAATTTAAAAAGATGTCACCCACCCTAAACAATTTGTATATCCATCTTGACAAACTCCATTAGGTTTCAGAGCCTGAGAATGTTTATCTCAGACTTCTTTCGGGGCTT